GTTCTTCAACTTCCTCTGGTTTTTCCCACCTCCATAGTTGGCTCACATCACTTCCTCCTCTGGAATGTCCATGTCTGCCGTCACAGCTCTGACATCTCACCCATGGTTCGGGATTCCGTTGACCTGCCACCTCCATGAAGCTTGTGCAGTGTCCAGCTGTTCCTGACAAGTTGTGGTTACTGAACACGTGTTCATTCTCTCCTTCCTTCTTCATCTCTTTTTTCCAGTGTATCCTCCCAGTCCAAAGTACATTTTTCCTTTTCAAGCATCTCGTATTTCTGTAGTGGCAGAACAACTATTCTCCCAAGTTTAATTTTGTATGTGTTTTCCTTCTTCTAGCCTAGAACATGCTTGCTGGAAGGAACCATGCTTTGTTCATGGTCTCTCACCGGGCCTGACGCTGAAGTCTTTGCTCTTCTCCTTGCAACAAACTTTCCTCCTTTGACAGCAGATCCATGCTGGTTTGTTTGGTCAGCTTGTATTTGGGCTAGTTCTGTGGGGCACGGCTCTTCTTCTATTAGATGGTAAGCTCCTTGAGAGCATGTTTCACGTCTGAGTCCTCTTTTTATCCTCAAAAGTACAAGGACAGTACCATGCACATAGTTAGTGCTCATTAAATCCTTACAGAGTAAGAGAAATAGCCTGTTCAGCCAGTGTGCAGGACTGTAGCATATTCCACAGTTCCATAGAAAATGACATTTACTGTCCACTTTTAAGTTTTTTTAATTTTTTTTTTTTTTTTTTTTTTTTTTTTAGTAATCTCTACTCTCAACATGGGGCTCGAACTCATGACCCCAAGATCAAGATTCACATGTTCCTCTGACTGAGCCAGCCAGGTGCCCCTACTGTCCACTTTTTAGAAGAGGAATATATCCCATTAGGTTAGAAACAGAGAGAGAATGAAGGGGGGTTGTGATGTAACTTAGGTCACATTCTAAACCTGGATGGGCGGAGGCTGGTGATGTTGATAAGGTTTGGAGAAATTAGCCATGATTTGAAACATTTAATTGTTTCAGGAAAAAAAGTGATAATCCTGTTACCCTTGGTTTAAACTCTGTTTCTGAGCTGCATGTCAGTCGTGTTTGTAATATTTCTCTAGTCACTGAGGCTTTTCCTTTTCCCATTTTAGTGTGTCACAAAATGTAGGGCTCCTTAAAAGATCAAGAAGTGGGATCACCATGGGATAAACAGAAAATTGGCTTCAATTATAATTTTTTTAAAAGATTTTATTTGAGGGTGAGAGAGAGAGAGAGAGAGAGCATGAATGAGGGGAGGGGCAGAAGGAGAGGGAGAAGCAGACTCTGCGATCAGCAGGGAGCCCGACTTGGGACACAGGTCTTGATCCCAGGACCTTGAGATCATGAGCTGAGCAGAAGGCAGATGTTCAACCGACTGAGCCACCCAGGCACCCCCACTTATAATTTTTTATTTCATTTTTTAAACTTACAAAATTTTTTAGTCAATTTACTTAAATTAAAAAAATTACCCATTTCTTCACCGCCCCACCCCTAGCTTCTTGCAACCACCAAGCTGTTCTCTATATTTATGAGATTAGGTTTATTTATTTATTTATTTATTTTCTGATTCCACATATAAGAGAGACATATGGTATTTGTCTTTGTTTGACTTATTTCACTTAGCATAATGCCCTTGAGCCCCAACCATGTTGTCACAAATGGCAAGAATTCATTCTTTTTTATGGCTCAATAATATTCCATTATGTATATATATATCACAGTTTATCCATTCATGAGTCAATGGACACTGTGGTTGTTTCCATATCTTGGCCCATTGTAAGTAATGCTGCAGTGGACATGTGGGTGCATTTGTCTTTTTGAATTAATGTTTTTCTTTTCTTCAGATAAGTATCCAGAAGTAGAATTGCTGGATTATATGGTAGTTCTATTTTTAATATTTTGAGGGAATTCCGTACTGTTTTCCACAGTAGTTGTTTTTCAATTTACATTCCTGCCAACAGTGCACAAGGGTTTTCTTTTCTCCACATTCTTGCTAATACTAGTTATTTCTTGTCTTTTTGATAATAACCATTTTAATAGGTGTGAGATGATAGCTCATTGTGGGTTTGATTTGCATGTCCCTGATGTGTAATGATGTTACACATCTTTTCATGTGCTGGTTGGTCATCTGTATGTCTTCTTTGGAAAGATGTTTATTCATCTTCTGCCCGTTTTTAATTGGATTTTTTTTTCTTTTGAGTTGTATGAGTTCTTTATATATTTTGGGTATTAATCTCTTATCAGTTATTTGGTTTGCAAATATTTTCTTCCAGTCAGTATGTTTGCCTTTTTATTTTGTTGATGGTTCTCTTTGTTGTGCAGAAGCTTTTGGTTTGATGCGGTTCCATTTGTTTACTTTTCCTTTTTTTGCTTTTACTTTTGGTGTCAGATTCAAAAAATCATCACCAAAACCTATGTCAAGGAGCTTATCGCTTATCTTCTAAGAGTTTTATAGTTTTAGGTCTTACATTCAAGTCTTTAATCCATTCAAAATTGATTTTTGTGTATGGTATAAGATACTGGTCCAGTTTCATTCCTTTCTATGTGGTTTTCCATTTCCCCAACACCATTTATTGAAGAGACTGTCCTTTTTGCATTGTATATTCCTGCTCCTTTGTCATAAATTAATTAACCATATGTGCGTGGGTTGATTTCTGGACTTTTTATTCTGTTTCACTGATACTTGTATCTGTTTTTATGCCAGTATCATGAAGTTTTAATTACTACAGCTGTGTAATATAGTTTGAAATCAGGGAGTGTGATGTCTCCAGCTTTGTTCTTCTTTCTCAAGATTGCTTTGGCTCTTTGGGGTCTTTTGTGGTTCCATATACACTTAATCTTAGGATTGTTTGTTCTATTTCTTTGAAAAACACTGTTGGAAATTTGATAGGGATTGAATTCAATCTGTAGATTGCTTTAAGTAGTATAGATGTTTTAATAGTATGAATTCTTCCAATCCATGACCACAGAATATCTTTCCTTTTACTTGTGTCTTCTTCAATTCCTTGCATTAATGTCTTGTAGTTTTCAGTATACAGGTCTTTCACCTCCTTGGTTAAATTTCTTACTAGGTATTTTATTCTTTTTAGATGCAATTATAAATGGGATTGTTTTCTTAATTCCTCGTTCTCATAGTTTGTTGTTAGTGTAAAGAAACACAACAGATTTTTGTGTATTGATTTTGTATGCTACAACTTTACTGAATGTGTTTATCAATTCTAACAGTAAAGATGGAGTCTTTAGGGTGGGTGCTTACATATAATAGCATGTCATCTGCAAATATTAACAGTTATACTTCTTTTTTTCCAATTTGGATATCTTTTATATCTTTTTCTTGCCTAATTGCTCTAGATAGGACTTCCAATACTAAGTTGAATGAAAGTGGCAAGAGTGGACATTCTTGTGTCCCTGATCTTAGAAGAAAAGCTTACAGCTTTTCACCAAAGAATATGATGTTAGCTTGGACTTGTCATATATGGCCTTTATTGTGTGGAGGTGCATTCCTTCTATACCCACTTAGTTGAGATTTATTATCGTAAATGGATGTTAAATTTTGTCAAATGCTTTTTCTACATCTATTGAGATGATCATATGATTTTTAGTCTTCATTTTGTTAATGTGGTATATCATACTGACTGATCTGTGGATGTTAAACCATCCTTGCATTCCTGAAATAAGCCCCACTTGTTCATGGGATATGATCCTTTTAATATATTGTTGAATTTAGTTTGCTAATATTTTGCTGAAGACTATGCATGTGTTCATCAGGGATATTGGCCTGTAAGTTTCCTTTTTGTGGTATACTTGTCTGGTTTTGGTATCAGGATAATGCTGGCCTCAAAAACCGAGTTTGTAAGAGTTCTCTCCTCTTCTATTTTGGAAGAGTTTGAGAAGGATTGGTGTTAATTCTTCCTTAAATGTTTTGTAGAATTCACCAGTAAAGCTGTCTGATCCTGGACGTTTTTTTTTGTTAGGAGGTTTTTGATTACCGATTTCAATCTCCTTGCTAGTAATTGGTCTGTTCAGATTTTCTATTTCATCATGGTTCAGTCGTGGTACTTATGTTTCTAGGAATTTATCATTTTGTCTAGGTTGTCCAAATTGTTGCCATATAATTATTTATAGTAGTCTCTTATAATCTTTTGTATTTCTGAGGTATCAATTGTAATATCTTCTCTTTTATTTCTGATGTTATTTATTTGGGTCATTTCTTTTTTCCATGGTAAGTCTAGGCAAACTCTTATCAATTTTGTTTATCTTTTCAAAGAACTGGCTCTTAATTTCATAAATCAATTTACTGTGTTTTTAGTCTCTATTTCATTTATTTCTGTTCTAATCTTTGTTATTTCCTTCCTTCTAACTTTGGGTTTTTTTCTTTTACTAGTTCCTTGAGGTATGAAGTTAGGTTGTTTATTTGAGACTTTTTTTTTTTTTGTTTCTGAGGTAGGCATTTATTGCTACAAACTTTCCTCTTAGAACTACTTTTGCTGCATCCCATAAATATTGGCATATTATGTTTCCATTTTTGTTTGTCCCAAGGTATTTTTTGATTTCTTTTTTGAGAAATATATTTATATATTGATACATGTTTTTTAGAAAAAGCAACTCCATGAGGCAGGTAAGGCCTGTGGCTCGGTGGGGTTTAATGATTCATCATGACACCTAGTGAGTAAGTTGTAGGCTCTGAGGCAAAATAAGGCCTTAGGACTGCAAGACCAGTGTTCTCCCCACTCCATGGTGACCTCTTCTGTGAAATACCCTAAGAATGGGAAACATACACATGCAGCTCATTAGAGATGGAGAAAAGCATTTATTTAAAAAACCAAAAGGAGCCCTGGAATAGTCACTCACTCTATAGCAGGATTTCGCTTCATTTTCTCCAGGATCAGAACTACTAGAATTGTTTTATTGTTGATAAGATTGTTTCCATGATTTCCTTTATTTTGAAAAAAATGATCTTTCATCTAACTAAATTTTTGGCAGCTTGTGACCAAGATAAAGTTACCATATAACTAATCTTTTTGGAATGGGAAGTCAAGGACCAGATAAAATTAAATGCCTTTGACACTATCACCCAAGAGACCAGTGCTTCATTACTGATGAGATGGTAAGTCTCTGAGTTTAGTCCTGTGTACATTCCTAACCCATTGCTAATGCCCATCTACCGAGCATGCTTCTTGTCTGGCCTCAGTGCCCTAGTTGCAAAGCAGTCCGTGGCTAACTGCTTTGTCTTTTACTTTCCCTGAAGGTCATGCAGGCAATAGTGGTGCATTCCTGTTACTGGGAAGACAAAGATGTAGCTGTATTTTCAAATGCCCACAGTCATGCCATCATTTTTCACAAAAGCAAATGAAGATTTGAATTCCGAGGCTTGTGGGGTTGCACTTGGGTTTCATTATGGCTGGTGTGCTGATGCATCCATGCAATCTGTCTTTCTTTTACAGATGTGCAGTCCGTCACAGAGCAATGTCACTAATGAGCCTTCTAAACAACCAGAACCACACTTTTTAATAAGGATTGGAAAATGAGAACTACGATGTCTTGCCTGTTAGAGAAAAAAAGGAGTGTGAGAGATATACAAAGTCCTGCCTCATGTAAATTGGTATTTGCCTTTTCAAATGACATGTTTGTTAGTCAAGTATACAAAGATGTCTTAGGCAGGTACTGGGGAGAGCCTTAGGGTCTGCTGGTGTGCAGCAAGTAATCAAAAAAAATCTGAACTTGGGGTGGGGCGAAGTGATGGTGGGAGGAAATAAAAGCTGTTGCACGTTGTTTTGTCTTTCTAAAGATTCTTTTATTCCCATGATGATAAACCATAACACTGACTGTGAGAACACTACCAACATTTCACTCATTCTATAGAATCTGCCTAACTATATACTGGAATGAACTGCAGGTGACTTAACCTGATAATGAATTATCAGTAGAAAGGGGCTTTAAAAATACAGAGATATGAGGACGCCCAAGAGTTAGGGGTCATTTGTCCAGATGAAAAATAGTAGACAAGCGGGGACCACATTGTCAGGACCCAATTTAATCCTCATTCTGAAGACCAACTTGATCTTAGCTTAAGAAATGCTTTGGGCAAATTCTGTTGGAGAAATTTGATTTGGAGGCCAAGCATCTCATACAGTGGATATGGGTTGTTCAATCTGACAAATGGAGAAGAGTATTAAAAGAAACAAACACAGAGTCAAATTCCTTTAGAGATCAGGAAGTAGCATTATGTCCATTTACTAATAATCAAAAAATGGTCTTTGTAGCACAGAAAGTCCCTGAAAACTTCAGGGTAACTCTAACCAGTCTCAATTACTGATTTGTATTATACTTTAAGATTAGTTCCTGGGTTAGGAGTAAGAAAGCTGCAATTTTTTTTTCTCTTCTACACTGGGAAACATGAAAGACAAACAAAAAAACAAACAAACAAACAAACAAACAAAAAAACCACATGCAGTATTTTTAGTACGCTAAATATGAAATACTTTGTACAATGAAATATTAAAGGGTAACCATTTCTTGTTTCTTTTCATCTGAACATGATTTAAAAAGGGGATAATGTGATTATATTTTTGAAGAGGAGGAAGCAGAATTTCTGGAAAATCTTATGCTCAGCTTGGTTGCTTTATTGATAAGAAAGGAGGACGTGTGAATGTATATTTTATGAGTACTGCAATTATTAAGCACAGACGGTACATAATGCATTAGGCTTTATGTGAATTGCATTGGATTTATCTTTCTTTTAGAGCATATTTTAAAAATGTTTTACTGCATCTATTATAACCCCGTTATAGCTAGGGTGTTACTCCATGGTAATAGTGGTTTAGCATTTTAGAGCAACTTGTAAGATGTGATTCAAGGGAAAGAAAGGTCATTCAGGCATGCGTAATCAACAATCAACATCTCTCGTCTCCCCATTTTCCCTTTTCCTTGAGCAATGCTTCTTTTTCTTTTGTAATCTTCTAGTCAGTCAAGTTTACTGACAAATCTGTGAAGAAAGTGGAATAATTATAAATTAATAGTAGGAGAAATAAACAGATCTAAAAATAGTTTGTAGAGGTAGAGCCAAATGTCTCAGTCCGACAGAAGTAGCATCAAGCTTGAGAGTGTGTCGTATTCTCTGACAAAGTGAAGCCTACTCCTGATTGCTCTTTGTTGAGAACAAACCACCTCTTGCAGGCAACTGGAGTTGGCTTCCACAGCCAGACTCAGAAAGGGGACCATCGTGGAAATTATGCACCAGCCACCTGTTTTCCCTTAATCACTGCCTGCATATTAGCTAATATATTAGCTCTAAATTTATCTTAAGTTCATTCATAAGGATAAAACCTTTGGAGATTTTTCAGAGTTTTTTAAACTTCTAATTAAAAATTTCCATATATTCTCAAATCTGGCATAGCATTTGTCAGTTTTAGCATTAACCTGACCACATGGCTTTATCATCTGCAGCGTGAAGAAGCCATATCCTTTAATGCTGAAATAATCTAAATGGAATAATATGATTCATCCTCCCAATAAAAATTTTCAGCTGTTTGGAGGTTTATCATGGTATAGAGATGAGTATCAGAGCCTCCATTTGGATTAAGTTTGCATAACTAGAATGTGCAAAGCTTCCCTAATTTTTTTTCCTGGCTTTGCTATTTATGAGCAATATATTGCATATGAAGAAAATTTAAAACTGTTTTAAACAATCCAAATTACACTGTAGATTTGAGTTGGGACTCTCAGCATCATCTGTTTGCCAAATCAAGCAATATTAAGGTCATCTTAGAATTATACTTTTCTGATCAATCTAATCCCAAAGTTTCAAACACATAAAGTGTTATCCCAGTGGTGTCTGTTATACACAATTTGATATAAAGAAAGAGATGTCTAGAGTCAGATGTCTGACTGCAAGATTCCAAGTTATCTCATTCACCTGCTCTTCTTTCCTACTGTTCTTTCGTGTAAATTTTGACGAAGGTTGTATTCTGTTTTGTGCACAGGGAGATTTGATTGGCAGGGGAGGACATGCCACCATTGAGAAAGGAAAGATATCAGCTATTTCCATTACCATTTCTATAACAATCATCTTCTAGTAATAATGCCCACTGTGATAGGACATCAGATTGTGCATAGGCCTGCCTGTTGTCAGCACATTTCCAATGTTTAAATTCCATGGTGGCCAACACTGCCTGTTTTGCTTACTGCTATAAAGCCACTTGGCTGGCATAGTGACTGGCACGTATTAGGTACTTAAGACATATTTATGGAAGTGAATGAATGAATGATACAGCTGTTCTTTGCCATATTTGGGTATTTACTCAGGGTGATTGCATAGAGTGGACATCTCTGTTTCAGTTACTGTGACTGTGTAACAAACCCAAAGCTTGGTGATTTAAAACAACAACATTCAGGGGCGCCTGGGTGGTTCAGTCAGTTAAGCATCTGACTTCTGATTTTGGCACAGATCATGATCTTGGCTCAGGTCATGATCTCGGGGTCATGGGATCGAATCCCACATTGGGCTCTGCGTGGAGTTTGCTTAGAATTCTCTCTCCCTTTCCCTCTGCCCTTCTGCCCTTCCCTGCTCAGGTGTGCTCTCTAGCAAACAAACAAATAAATAAAATCTTAAAAAAAATAAAACAACAACATTTATTTTGCTTACATAACAAGAATCAGCAGTCTGGGTTCGGCTTGTGGAGAGCACCTCATTTTTTTTTTTTTTTAGGGTGGAGCATATCTTTTTTTATTGTTATGTTAATCCCCATATATTACATAATTTGTTTTGGTGTAGTGTTCCATGATTCATTGTTTGTTCACAACACCCAGTGCTCCATGCAGAATGTGCCCTCTTTAAGACCCATCACCAGGCTAACCCATCCCCCCACCCCTCTCCCCTCTAGAACCCTCAGTTTGTTTCTCAGAATCCATAGTCTCTTATGGTTCGTCTCCCCCTCCGATTTCCCCTCCTTCATTTCTCCCTTCCTACTATCTTCTTTTTTTATTAACATATAATGTATTATTTGTTTCAGAGGTACAGGTCTGTGATTCAACAGTCTTGCACAATTCACAGCGCTCACCATAGCACATACCCTCCCCAATGTCTATCACCCAGCCACCCCATCGCTCCCACCCCCCCACCACTCCAGCAACCCTCAGTTTGTTTCCCGAGATTAAGAATTCCTCATATCAGTGAGGTCATAGGGAACATGAGAATTTAATGGCAAACTTCAGAACCATATTCTGCTATATTATCAGCCAAATTCCAGCCCAATCCTTGAAAACGCCACTGCCCTGTGATAGTATGCATTATCATCATACCCGTGAACTTTACAAATTGTGCTCTACAGACCATTGTATCTCTGGTCAGGAAAAAAAAAGGATTCTTCACCACAATTATAGAGTCGAGAATAGCATCTGTCAGATCATATTGTAAATAAAGGTTTATTGAATTCGTGTACTACTCACATAAGTTAATGCAGTAGCTTATAACAGAGTCCACTGACACTGACTGCAGTAAAATCAGAAAAGGATTTTTAAAGCCCGCTTATCTATATTCTGTTAGTTTTTACAATTTCAGAAAATATTTTAAAAATGATTTTTTAATTTCTACATTTGAAGTACATAGCATAAAAAGTTCTCCAATTTGAATTTCAAGAAATCATAATGGGAAGGCAAGAGTCCTCGAATGATGGCAGAGAGTTAGGTTTAATTTTCTATCAAACCACAAATTCTGCAGCCCAGGCACATCATTTAACCCCTCATGGACTTGCTTTTCAGGCCGAATAACTGAATGAATGGCTAGATGAAGAAATGAAAGAATTGTTAATGAATAGGCCAGAGAGAAAGCTCCTAAGTTCCAATCCATAAGAGATTCTCAAACATGGCTGGGGTGCTAGAACCTTGGTGAAATAATCAATACTTCTCAGGAGAAATGTGGATAAAAGGAATACAGCACTTTGACAAGCCCCTTTGGTGGGGCATGAAACCCAACAAGGGCTGGAAACAATTGTCTTCTAAGGTGGTAGGGCTTTGGTTTTGTGGAGTGAAGACTGTGAACCAGGTTTAAAGCTCTCAATCTGGGGGCCTTAAGAGAAGAAAAGTTAGGCTCTGTCTTAAGGGGATGTCATTCTCTACTTTCTCCAATGCTGTTCAGCCTTCCCTCACTCCCTTCCTTTCCTTTCTCTATCAGCTAACATTTATCGGCCACTTACTTTGTGCCAGGTGGTGTTTTTAAGAGCTTTCTATATAGTGACCCATTTATAAATAAATGTTGGACACTTGCTTAATGAATATTTATTAGCCTGCGTGGGCACTATGCTGGAGCAATTACATGTTACCTTGTTTACTCAGAGACTCTCACTTTTGTCCTCTTCTGGGTCTTGGTTTAACTGAGATCCTGTGCTAATGAACAGGAACTTCTCTTAGAACTCAGTTTGTTCACTTCTTTAGGTTTTCTTTGATCAGTCATCTCTTAAGGTCCTTGACCGGTTGAACTCCCAGAAACCAAAACACCAAAACACCAAAAAAAAAAAAAAAAAAAAAGAGGAGGAACAAGATATCATCTCATGACCACTATAGGGAAGAGGTTAGTTTCTTTGCAAACTAAGATACTATGTTGGGTGAGGTGAAGTACCACGGCATTACGGCCAGAACCATAACAAAAGATAAAACTAGCAAAATGTCAAGA